AATGAAATATAATTAAAATATTATCACAAATCAATTTTCAATCGAACAATTTATATTCCAAATTTTGAGTCAAAGATTGAGACCCATTTTTTGTATAGTAAATGTCTGAACTGGAAAAATTCTATTTCTATCAAAATTGTAGCCCTTTGAGTTAAATTTTCAACCCATTTTGAATCGTCTCAATTGGATATCGGAAGAGAAAGTTATGTCCAAAATGCTGACTGTTGTACAGAGACAAAAATATGCGCACGTGAAGGCAACTTTCCTTATTCAATTGGAACTCTTTTGGAAACTAATTTGGACATAATTTTCAATCAATTTTTGACTATTATAAATACCTAACAGTAGAATACATAGGGACGCCTCTCATATACATCTCATACTACAATATTCTATCAATTTTCATCATAAAAGAGGGACAAAATCATATATTGTAAGGAGACTTCAAATGCGAAGTTCAAGAACTCACCAGTTGGAGATTAAACCTGGAATTTGTGTGGCAAAGAAACGAAAGGGGTATTGAAGATTTATCAAGATTGTTTTGAAGAAATTCAAGAACATCAAGATTCATCTTCCTTCATTCATTCATTCACAATTCCGGTCTATACAAAATTATGATGTTCTCTTGTAATTTCGATATATTAGGCTAGTTATTTAATTGCTATGATGAGATGAGCCCTTGATATAATATTTTTGGTTTTAATAAATTAGTTTCACTTTAATTTGCTTTTAAATTCTTGGATGTTTATTATCGCTTTTCAATTAAATGGCCACTAGTTGAATTGTTTGTGAATTTTGTTGTTATTGAAAGAGATAATAGGATCAATAGCACAAAATAATAAATATTGTAACGTCCGATAAGGGATAGAGATATATACTTTACATGATTTTTATAGGTGTTCTAGCATATTTAATATTTTTGCATGTTCGCATCTTCCAGAAGGTCACATGTAGGAATAAATTTTATCGATATTGAGAAAGGCTTTTAATTAAAATAAGATAATAACCAACAAGAATGATTTCAAATCGCTATTTTAAATTGTTGAACAAAAATTGATTAACAAGGGATTCGACATTTAAGCAATACCTCTCGCATATTTGAAAATCAATTTTACTTGCTTTCACTTAGTTAATAACTT